TATTAATGATGCAGTGCTGACTTAAGTGCCAACAGGATTTTCATATGAACTTGGCATAGTCTTGAACCCCAACTGGCAACTCAAGCATTCTTATTTAGTTTTTATATGGAATTTGAACATTCCAAAGACTAAGGGTATAAATGCGGAAGAACACCCAGATATGAATCCCCCAACATTGTCACTATGTATCACTCCTTCCCTGATTTGCATCAGTTGGGTATTATTGGATTTTTTTCTTACTTTATGTAGTTATTTAAATAGCTTTGAAGACACAGAGGATTGGAAGGTAACAAATGTCTTAAGAAAAATACAAACTATCTATTGTGTTATTATGTGTCATTGTGGGTTAAGTTAAAAGGCACCCCAAAATGTGTAAATTAATGCACGTTTTATTACAAAAACCAGAAAGCTAAGATTTATAGAACACTTTTGTTTCCTATTCACTGCCAGCACCACCACCACAAATAAGCTTTTGTCAAGTACCTACAAAATCTCCAAGGGCTATATTCTGATTTTCATGCTTTTGAATGTTCCCTCTTCTCTTGTTCACCTGGTCATTGCATTCTTACCCTTTAGCACAGGTGTCAGCTCCTCTGAAAAGCCTTTTCTGCATCAACTCCCCCATTTACTTCCACTCTAGGAAGAATTGGAGGCTGCCTGCTGTATTTACACAATATATTGAGCATAACCACACTGAAAATCGATTTGTAACTGATTTGTCTAGTGCTACTTTCTGACCATCTAAAAGTGTCTGCAAATCACCTACTGAAAGCATCCTGTATAAAATTTTCCAAGGGAGGACAGCAAACCAGAGCAAGTACCACAAACCACTTGGCTTTTGAGATATCAGAGCTCTAGGTATTGCTGTGCTCATTAGTTTTGTATTTTATCTTTTAGCTGATGAAAATGCTCCAAATTCCCAAGTTGTCTGAATATTCACCAGTCACTAACCAATGAAAATGTAGTAATATCTGCCTTTCACCCAAAGTAAATGACTAAAAGAACTGATGGCAAAATGTTGCTCTTTTTCCCGTTTTTCTGATCAAAAATTATTTTGTACGATTAAAAATAATACATATTTATTGTTGTACTGTATAAAATACAGATATTCTATGAGAAGAAAATAAAGACTAGGGAAAATGTCCATATCCAGATATAATTAGTTTCTTGCATATATCTTTTCAGATACTTTTCTATGCACATAAAATATATTTTTAAAAATAATAGGCCAGGTGCGGTGGCTCAAGCCTGTAATCCCAGCACTTTGGGAGGCCGAGACAGGCGGATCACAAGGTCAGGAGATCGAGACGATCCTGGCTAACACGGTGAAACCCCGTCTCTACTAAAAAATACAAAAAAACTAGCCGGGTGAGGTGGCGGGCGCCTGTAGTCCCAGCTACTTGGGAGGCTAAGGCAGGAGAATGGTGTAAACCCAGGAGGCGGAGCTTGCAGTGAGCCGAGATCCGGCCACTGCACTCCAGCCTGGGCGACAGAGCGAGACTCTGTCTCAAAAAAAATAATAATAATAGCTCATCATATTTGTCATTTTAACCTACCTTTTATCATTTTGAGCATCTTTCCACATATTTGTATATAACACACATACATGCACAGGGACATGTATATCATATTTATAGCTATATAGTCTTCTGTTGGGTGATTATCAAGATTTAACTAATCTCTTATGTTTGGATATTTAAGTTGTTTATAAATTTTTCACATTATAAGCAATGGATCATTAAATATTTGGTGCCAGAGTTAGGAGTGCTCATCCAGTTATCCTCCTAGGATAAATCTTATACATAAAGCTGTCAGGTCAAAGGGTGAGAAACTTTTTTTTCTATTTTAAAGTTTTGAAATTATGTCATCAAGTTCTCTAAAAAGCAACAAAAATTAACACTCATATCCACAAAAAGTATGAAAGGGCCCATTTCCTGTCACATTGCCAGCGCTGGGAATAATCTGTCTTTTAAATCTTTGCTTATCTCTGCAAAGTATGCCTCATTATTATTTTAATTGGTATTTCTTGATTTCTAAAGAGGAAAAACATTATTCCTGGGCTTTAATGTGTGGTATGAAGGAAATACAAAGAGCATAGGAAAGGAGAAACAGTAACAGTACAAAATAAGATCACCATTATTGCAGGAAAATAAGGGAAACAAGAAGGAATAAGCTTCACAGGTTTTGTATTATTTTTTTCTCATTAGGTTTGGATACCCAGTAACTTTTAGAACAATTCTGAATGCATGCACTGCATCCCACCCCAATCATTACTGAATGAGTTGAATATGCAAGTTACATCTAAATATATGGATATTTGTTTGCTCTAAAACACACAATTATTTTAAGTTTTAGAACATGGCTCAAGGACAAATTCATCAGAAGGGCTCAAAAAGGCTGATGACTGTCTCATAATACCATTGCTCTAAGTTAGCAGTAGTTAGATTTATGCACTTATGCTAATTTCTCAAATCCCACTGAGCCCTTTAAATGTGATCATATTTGTTTGCCTCATTGCTTTTCCCCAACCGTGAGCCCATACAGTCTTAATTTGCCAGTCCTTGCATTCTCATTTATTTTCTTTTCCCTCCTTCACTACTTTACTGCAGGCAGCTGTCACTGTGTAAAAGTCTAAGGTAGGAGCAGAAGGCTTTTCTTCATTCTGCTGAGAATGCTTGCTTTATTGGAAAAAAGAACACTCAACTGAGAGCTGCCCATAAAGCTTATTTCAGTTCTTTGTCAGCAACCAAGGGAGCTGAGAGGAAGTTTGGGGATAAAACAAAAGATGCAGTAGTGAAGAAGGGCACTGTGATCTGAAGGGATGCAGAGCCATGGGCCGAGGGCCACAGCATGGCTAGAACAGCTGAGCTTTATGTGGGCTCAGGTGGAATTTGTGGTGTGGCCTGGGTGATGGTGATGGAAGCAGCTTCTTTTCTGTCAGGCACTGTGCTGAGGACTTGGCTGGACTATCCATTTCAACCCATGCCAGTGCTAGCAGCATAAGTCCCCCAGTGTTCCCAATTCGCAGACCAGGAAACCCACGCTTGGGCTATTTGAGTAACCTAGGTCATAACCAGATACAAATCCTGATCTGGCTGAACCAGAGCCCATCCTCTCAGCCTCAGCAGCATTTTGTTACTGGACTCTTCCAGATAGTCACATAATTCTAGTAAGGATCTTAATGAATGATTCCTGGGGCTACTAACATTCAGTTCTAGATAATTTGCTAGGAGGCAGATTAAATGAAGCCCAGTGACATCTGGAGGTATAACCCCCTGGCCTGACCTTCTATTTATCTTGCATCTGTGGACTTTTACTAAGATTATACACATCTTACCGCACTGAAGGCTCTCATCTGGTGGCAAGTCTCCTTGAGATTTTGTATAAGAACAATGTGTATGACATGTGCAATATAAGGTCTTCTATAGGCTCCCAGACATCAGTCATTCAGCTCCCAAGTCTTTACTGAACACCTTTAAATTTGTCTCCTATTATTGTTTAAGTATTGGGGATACAGCAGAGGAGATCCAATAGTCCTCTGCTCATGAACCTACATTCAAGTGGCAGACACAAATTGAAACAAAAAAGTAACTATGTAGCATACTAAATACAACTAAGTGCCAAAGAGGAAAATTAAAGCAGGGAAGAGGGGATAGAAAGTATTGGAGGCAGGGTCTGCAATTTTAGATTGAACGGCTATGGAAAGTGACATTTGAATAAAGACCTTAATAAATAAGTAGGAACTGATATCCCTGAATATGGTTTCAAAAGACCTTAAAGGGCAAAAAACACTATGTTATGGCATGTAGAGGTCAGAGGAATGCTAGAAACACTTGGTAGATTTAGCAATATATTTCATGATATACAGTCAGGCTATATGCATACATATTCATGATACATTAGTTCTAAAACGCTTGAACTGGAGTTGCCAGATAAAATACAGGACACCTAGCTGGGTGTGGTGGCTCATGCCTGCACTCCTAGCACTTTGGGAGGCCACGATGAGAGGACTGCTTACGCTCAAAAGTTTAAGGCCAGCCTGGACAACATAGTGAGACCTTGTTTCTACAAAAAAATTTATTCAGGCATGGTGGCGCACATCTGTAGTCCCAGCTACGTAGGTGGCTGAAATGGCAGGATCGCTTAAGCCCAGAAGGTTGAGGTTACAGTAAGCCAAGATTATGCCATTGCACTCCAGCCTGGGTGACAGAGTGAGGCCCTGTCTCAACAAAGAAACAAAGAAACAAACAAACAAACAAAAAACAGGACACCCAGTTGAGTTTGAACTCCAGACTAACAACAAACACATCTCAGAGATACTGTGGGTTTTGTTCTAGACTTCCTCAATAAAGCAAATATCGCAATAAAGTGAGTCACACACATTTTTTTGTTTCCCAGTGCATATAAAGTTATTTTTACACTATTATCTATTAAGTGTGCAATAGCCTTATGTCTAAAAGATGTACATACCTTAATTTCAAAATATGACTAAAAAATTCTGACACAGAGACATGAAGTAAGCACATGCTGGTGGAAAAATGGCACAAATAGACTTGCTTAACACAGCGTGGGACAAACCTTCAGTTCATAAAAAACACAGTATCTGTGAAGTGTAATGAAGCAAAAGGGAATAAAGCAAGGTATGTTTGTAATGATTTAGTATAAGTATTTTCAAATACTTATTTGGACATACTTATACAAAAAAGATTATTTGTTGTTTCTAGAAAATTCAAATCTAAGTGGGTATCTTGCATTTTT